CCTAAATCACTCGTACGCACAACTTAAGAACAAATCTGTGCGTACCAACGGTTCTTGCATGAGGCCCATTATTCAGACGGGAGGGAAAAATAATAAATAATGTTCCATCTTCAATATGTCTAAAACCACAGCAGCTGTTTTAATACTGACACTTCTGATGAAATCTCCCAAGTGTTGCTTTATTTTGATAAAGATTATTTAAGTAGAGTTTGTAAATGCTGAGATACACTCAGTTACATTTTCAGCATGGGATTTTGAGCAAAAATATCAAGAGGTTAAGTGAAAACACTCATTTTATTTTATTTTATCACTTGTGCATTAAAAAACAAGATATGAAGGGTTCAACTGTCCACACTGCAGTCTGATGGAGACGTTTAAACCTTCATGTAACAAAGACGCCAGAAGTTCAGTCCTTTCTGTTGACGTGTCATCTGAACGTGTTTTACCTCAACCTTTTTTCTGCAAACTCTTCAAACCACAACAAGGTGGTGACTCAATCTGAGGCCACAACAAACTGAACTGAAGGTGAAACTTAACATTAACCCTTTAATTACAAGCCAACACATAAAGCAAATTTCCACATTTRGGCTGTAGTTTGAACACATACAGATAAACGAAGGTAAACCAATTAAATAAATGAAGGAAGTTGGGTTTAATTCACTGGTTCCAGTTAAAGACTGAATCGTTACCCTCTTTAGGTCGAGGAGACGGGTTCCACTCAGGAATATTCTTCACGATGGCCTCCACAGCTTGGCCCGCTGCGATTCTGGTGTCCCAGCTGGGACTCCTCAGGTAGGTCAAGACCTGACAACACAAAGGTTCAACAGGCCATCTTCATCAGGTAGAACACTATTATTTAAAGCTTCTCCACAGAACCACACTTCAATACAGCTGAAACATTTGAGCGACGGATCCAGACCTTTGCTAAGAGGTTATTAAGTTCATGTGGGTGAAGTTTGACAACTTCTCCGAGCTGCTGGGCCGCTGCTTTCCTGGTTACTGGAGTGGTTCCTGTGTCCAACAGGATAAACAGACGGTCGAGTCTGAAAACACGAGAGGAAGATGAAATTAGTCCAATAAAATAAAAACACAGAAACAGCCAGGTCTGATGCTGGACAGGACTAAAATTAAAGATTTTTCAACCYGTTCCTGTGTTTTGAAAATGAAAGCACAATCAATGACAGCAGGTACACATGTTAAAGTGCCTATGATATCAAATTTTTGTAATAAACATGAACGCATTTTTGGAAAGATATCACTGATAACATGCTGCAAAACAAGTTTCATGTTGCTGAGATGAACGGTTGTTGAGATATTTACATGTGAAGAAACAGGAAGTGATGTCAGAGGGGAATGTCTGCATGTAAACAGAGCGTTGTTAAAAAAGCTAACACATCTGTAGAGAAGAATCTGATGTTTCTTTATATTTTTAGTTTCTATCAAAGAGAGATGAAGAAGAAATAAAGTTTAAATAATTTTGTTTTATAAACAAAGACCAGAGAGTTCATTTTATTAATGAGTTCCCCTTTGATGTCACTTCCTRTTTCACTTTGGCTGAGCCAAATACAAAATAGGCCAGTTATGTGACAAAATGGGTAAAATCATGTGTATTTTCTTAAGTTAAAATATGCTTTCTTTAACTTTTTGTATTTGAAGGATAGGCGTGTCACATCACACCTGCAGAATCAATTTTAGCTTCTTATGTCCTCATTCCTACCTATATATGAAACTTATTTACATTAAGATGTCACATTAAGACATTATGATGGTGGCTCTTTTATATTTTGTTTATTTGATGTAAAACACTAAGATAAAAAAATGCTTTATAGTGAAAACAAAGTTGTACTGACTGATTGACTGAACACTAAAGATGTTTGTTACTATCCTAGATGCTAATTACAGTTAAGTGAGTAATCTGGGAGAACTCAGCCATTTATAAAACCAATAAACCACGTGGACTGAAAAAACATTGAAACAAAAACAAAACAATGCTGGACAGCTGATGTTTATTTAGACACTTAGCTTCATCATTAAGGCCAGGCTACAAATAACACAAGTACAGCTGTAAAGAGTTTCCCAAAGTTGGGGTCAGGACCCAAAGTGGGGTCCCGAAACATCAAGGTGGGGTCCTGAAAAGATTTTCTGAATTACATTTTTGCCTTAGTTGTTACAAAGGAGTGAGGTTAGTGTATTTAAAATGGATGAATGTAGTTTAAAAATATTGTTACTATGCCCATGTTTTGTTGAACTGATACAAATGTTTATGATCCAAAAATAGTTGGGGTCACATGTCTCTGCTGCTGTTATTTTGTGGGTCAAATGCTGAAAAGTTTGGGAACCACTGCACTTTTGTTCCCAAAGTTGGGCTTGGGACCCAATTATGGGTCATGAAGCACCTTGAATAATCTCCAGAAATCATTTTAAA